CGGCCCCCGCCCTCCAGTCTGGGCAACAGAGTGAGACTCCAACTCAAAAAAAAAAAAAAATACTAATTTGGTCTGTGGAATCCGTGTACTTGATACTCCCGGGAACCACATTTGGTTCTGCCTTCTGCGGGCGGATGGTGTGTGGGCCCAGAGTGAGCACGGTGGCGGGTCCCTGAGGTGGGAGGGGCCCCACCCGTTTCCGCATTTCCTTCCTTCTTCCTGCCTCCCAGGTCTCACCCCACCATCCTGGACATTCCCAACCAGCTGTATTACGACGGGGAGCTGCAGGCCTGTGCTGATGTCGTCGACCGCGAGCGCTTCTGCCGCTGGGAGGGCCTGCCTCGCCAGGTGAGGCTGAGCAGGCCGGGGCCCAGACCCCCGCCGGCCCACCGCCTTCCCTCCTACGGAAGGTGCTGGGGAAGAAGCTCCCCTCGGCCCGGGCTCGGCAGAAGAGGGAGGCGGGGCGGTGGGGGCCGGCTGAGGGTCTCCCTGTCCCCCGTCCCGGTGTCCAGGGCTTTCCCATCATCTTCCACGGCGTGATGGGCAAGGACGAGCGCGAGGGCAACAGCCCATCCTTCTTCAACCCTGAAGAGGCTGCCACGGTGACGTCCTACCTGAAGCTGCTCCTGGCCCCCTCCTCCAAGAAGGGCAAAGCCCGCCTGAGCCCCCGGAGCGTGGGCGTCATCTCCCCTTACCGGAAGCAGGTCAGGTCTTCTGTGCCCAGCAGGGGCGGCCCCCATGTATCGCCTTCACATCCGCCTACTGAGGCTCTTGGCGCTGGGGCCCTGCTGGCGCGCTCGGAGGAGCTCGGAGGTCGGCCGCCCCGCCCTCTGCTCCCCAGCTCCCAGCCCCTACCTGGCTCCCGCTCATGTTGGGGCAATGACATGAGTGGAAGGGCCCTGTCCTCTCCCTCCAGGTGGAAAAAATCCGTTACTGCATCACCAAACTCGACAGGGAGCTTCGGGGAATGGACGACATCAAGGACTTAAAGGTGACACACTGGTCCTCACTGGCTCCCTGCCTTCTGGGTGCCCCCGCTTGCCCCCTTTTCCAGAGACCCCCTCAAGCTTCTGCTCCGGTTCTGCCCAGGCCCCGCTCTAGCCTTCTTGCCTCAAGATGACACTGTTTTCTCCCCACGCCTCTGGCTCCCTGTGATTCTGACCTCAATGTCTGTCGGACCCAGAAGCCTGCTCATCTGACTAGCACTTCCTGTCATCCTTAGAATCAGGCGGGTTTCAGGCCTCTGCCCGAAGGATAAAGTCCAAACTCCGGCTGTCCTGTGACATTTTCATCCCCCACCCCCGAGTAGTTTGACTCTTTCTCTGAGGTTTTGGTTCTCAGCACTGGCTACAGATAAAAATCACCCGGAGAGCTTTTAATACCGCCACCTCAGGTCCCCACCCAACCAATTAACACAGCTATCTAGGGGCAGAGCCAGGGCACTGGTGTTTTTTACAGCTCCTCAGGTGATTCTAATGTGCGGCCAGGGTTGAAAACCACCGCCCTGAGACTCCGGGGCCTCTCCCTGGGAAACTCTGCTCCAGAGGTCTGGGCTAGGGTCCAGGGTTGTATATTCTTAACAAGTACTCAGTGATTATTTTCAGGAAACTTTGGAAGTCAGTGCTCTTTCTCTGCTTAGAAACACTTTCCAGGCCCCACCCCCTCAGCTGACTTCATCCTGGGCTTTCAGCCTCTGGGCCCACCTCCTGTTCTTACTTCCCATCACAACACTCTCTCTGTGGCCTGGTGACCTCTCTGCACCCTCCTCGGAGCGCGGGACAGGGCAAGTCCTCCATGGCGCCCCCAACACCCCTGGTCTCAGGCCCCGCCTCTCTCCCGCCAGGTGGGCTCCGTGGAAGAATTCCAAGGCCAAGAACGAAGTGTCATCCTCATCTCCACCGTGCGAAGCAGCCAGAGCTTTGTGCAGCTGGACCTGGACTTCAACATGGGTTTCCTCAAGAACCCCAAGGTTCGAGGGCTGGCAGGTGGCGCGAGTTCTTCGAACTTCCTTAGGGCCTTTCCCCGCCATGACCGCCGCTTCTTGCTTCCAGAGGTTCAACGTGGCTGTGACCCGGGCCAAGGCTTTGCTCATCGTCGTGGGCAACCCGCTTCTCCTGGGCCATGACCCCGACTGGAAAGTGTGAGCACTCGCGCCCCTCAGCTCCCCTTGGTGGCCACACCCCAGGCTAGGGCCGGTGGACCTTCACTGAGGACCGGCTTAGGGCTCAGTCCTCAGCTGTGTCGCCTCCCTGACACCCTCGTGGCGGTTATAAGCTAGCCGACGCCCAGAGGTCAAGCAAGCATAGCTCGGTGACAGGATCAGGCTGAGCCTCCAGCCTCTGCTGGCACCCCTCTGCCCCCACAGATTCCTGGAGTTCTGTAAGGAGAACGGGGGGTACACCGGGTGCCCCTTCCCTGCCAAGCTGGACCTGCAGCAGGGACAGAACTTGCTCCAGGGTCTGAGCAAGCTCAGCTCCTCTACCTCAGGTACGGTCTGGGGTGTGTGGGTGGGGCCCGTGCCGGGAGGCAGTGAGGAAGACACAGTGCATCTCCTGTCCTCCTAGGGCGCCGCCGTCAGGACTGCCTCCCCCAGGAGCGGGAAGGGGAAGGGGGCCTGTCCCTGCAAGTGGAGCCAGAGTGGAGGAACGAGCTCTGAGGACACAGCAGCCGGCCTCCTCACACCAGCCAAGCCTTAACTGCCCACCTGACCCTGAACCCGACCCCAGCCGAGCCGCCCCTCCGAGGGGCAGGAAGGCTGTGGGGGGGAGTTTACAACCTATGCCATTCCACCCCCTCCTCTGTCGGGGAGAATGACACACCAAGCTGCTAACAGTTGGGGAAGGGGGGAGGAAGAAAAACTGAAAACAAAATCTCCTCTATGCAAAAGCCTTGATGTCTTAGCCTGGCCCCAGCTTGAAGCCCCTAAGCTGACCCTGCAGGGGAGGGTGGGAATGACATGCCCTGCTTGGAGTCGCAGCCCCTCCCAGCTGGCGAGGCACCCAGCCCCCACATCCAGAGGAGGAAACCCAGTGGGGGGTGGAGAGGGCAGGGGAGCCACCCACGGTTTCTAAGTTTAGCTCCCACTACAGACCACTCCCCTCACCCGCCTCCAAGGCCCTGAGCCAGGCATGACCTCATCCTTTGCTCCAAGACTCCACCCTGCCAGCCTGTGTCCTGCTTTGCAGACTGGGGGCCAGCCTGGCAAGCAACTTTGAAATGAAAACAGAGCCAAGACGCCCCGGCACCTGGAGGAAAAGACAGGAAGCTGCACACTGGGTTGGAGCCCGGGGCCTCTAGGGCCTGCAGCCTTTATTCGTGCCCCTCACCAAGCGCAGTCAGACAAGGCCCCTGCCCAAAGCAAAACTCCCAGGGGCCTGGGACGGGGCCTGTGCCCTCTGTGTCCTCCACCCGATTCTCCTGTGAGCAGAAGTATACAAAGTGCTGGTGTGTGACCACCCTTTGGGGAAGGCCAAAGGGAACAGGGGCCCAAGGGGCTCTGCTCAGGGAGGCAGGGCAGAGGCCTGGGGTCCCAGAATGCCAAGAGCCAAGGCTGGCCGCCCACCACCACCACGGCTGGGGAAACTCGATGCAGTCCTGGGCTGAGGAAACTGAGAAAGGGAGCCTTCAGCACAGAGTTCTAAGAGGCTAGGTTGTGGGGTGGGTCCCTTCTATACCCCTGTGAAGGGAGGGGGACACAGAGGGGAGGCCTTGGGGACCTCAGAGAATGGGACAGCCCCTCCGGCGTTTGTTTTTGCGGACCTGGAGGCCAGCCCGAGTGGCCATCTCGAATACCTCCCGCACCCCCTCCTTGGTCTTGGCTGAGCACTCAAGGTAGCCGAAGGCACTGATGCGGTTCGCCATGTCGCGGCCGTCCTCGGACCGAACGGGTTCCTAAGAAGGCAGAAGATGACGGGTCAGAGAAAGCTAGTGACTACAGATACCTCTTCCACCTCACTTGTGTGTGTAGTAACTACAACAGATGCCTCTTCCTCCTGTCTGGCCCCAAAAGCACCCAGGCCTCGGCTGCCCTGGGCAGCTTCTGGACTAGGGAGCCAAGACAGGTTTGCATTCAAAATTCTCACGCCTGTGATCCTCAGCACTTAGGGAATCCAAGGTGGGAAGATGGCTTGAGGCCAGGAGTTCAAGACCAGCTGGGCCACACAGCACCCACCTCTACAAAATAATTCAGCAAATTAGCCAGGCTTACTGATAGCATCTGCCTCTAATCCCAGCTACTCAGGACACTGAGGCGGGAGGATTGCTTAAGCCCAAGAGTTGGAGGCTACAGTGAGCTACCGCTGCACTCTACCCTGAGCGACAGAGCAAACCCCTGTCTAAAATATTCCAAAACTTCAGTCTATTCCCTTCACTCCCATCTAGTCCTCCACCCCATAGCACCCGTTTCTCTGGCCTGAAGGAGTATCTATTGCTTCCTAACTGATCTCCCTGCCAATCCATCCTCTAACAAGGAGACCTGACGTCTGTCCCCAGCTTGAAACCTTGCCATGATTATCCTTACAAAATAGCGCATGTCTCTTACCCTGGCAGCTTTCTCTAATAAACTGCAGTCCTCTGGCTAGAGGGCCATTTGCCAGGTCCCTGGAGAAGCCAGTTGGCTCGCTCACCCTCCTGGCCTTCCAGTCACACAGAACGTCCTCCCCCACACTCCCCTGGCAGCCCACACCTCCCCAGGTGCACTGATAGCACAGCCTGCATACCCCATGAAGAAACTCCCTCAGAGCAGATTTTTTTACTTCTCTTAATGGCCCCAAGCCCAGGATGAGGAACCAACTGGAATAAATGAAAATGCAAAGCTGGGTGCAACAGCGCGAGCCTATAATCCCAGCACTTTGGGAGGCTAAAGCGAGGGCACTGCCTGAGTCCAGGGGTTGGAGGCCAGCCTAGGCAACCTGGCAAGATTTGCCTCATCTTTACAATAAGTAAAAAAAATTAGCTGGGTGTGGTGATGCGCACTTGTAGTTCCAGCTATTTGGAAGGCAGAGGCAGAAGGACTACCTGAACCCAGCAGGTCTGGGCTGCGGTAGCCGTGAGCGTGCCACTGCACTCCAGCCTGGGTGACTGAGTGAGGCCCTGACTCCAAAAAAAGAAAAGAAAATGCTAAGTAACCTGGGATCACTTGGAGACTCCTATCAGACCCAGCCCTTCCAGTTCTCCCTCCACAGGGGGCAGACCTGGCCAGCCAGAGAAGCTCCCTCTCCCATTCTGCCCAAGACAGGGCTCCCACCCAGCAGCCCCACCCACCTGCTTCATCTTGGCCAACTCCCGCCTGGTGTGCTCATCTTGCCGCAGATCCTTCTTATTCCCGACCAGGATGATAGGCACGTTGGGGCAGAAGTGCTTCACCTCCGGGGTCCACTTCTCAGGAATGTTCTCTGCATAGACATGTCCCAACAGGTGTGGGTGCCCCCACTTTGTCGAGGAAGCTCTCCTGGGGGACCCCTTTTCCCACAGTGGAGGCTTAGAAGCCAGTCAGCGCAATGGTCCTCTTGACAGCTTAGACCGTGTCAACTGCAGGCCCCCACGAGGGCCAAAGTCACCAAAGGAAGGAAACCGGCAGGACATCCCAATCCCACCCCTCAAGATAGCAGAAGACAGGACAGGGCACCAGACCTCTGGTTGCTCCCAAGGGATCCTCCGTCCCTTCCCTCCCAGGCCCTCACCTAGACTGTCAGGGCTGTCGATGGAGAAGCACATGAGGATGACATCGGTGTCCGGGTAGGAGAGAGGCCGCAGACGATCGTAGTCCTCCTGCCCTGCTGTGTCCCACAGAGCCAGTTCCACCTGACACACGGAGCTGGTGAGGAGCTAGCCCGAGGGCCCCAGCCCTGCACCCAGAGGTCCTCTCCAAAACCACAGGTCCTGCAGGCTCACTGAATATCCCTATTGAGTACCTGCTACATGCCAGCCATTGTATTGATCACTGTCACACAGGTTAGGGTAGTATAAAAAAAAATTTAAGATGTGTGTTTGATCTTTGCATATAGGTGATTTGTCCCTGTGAGCACCAACATTTTGACTAATTCTCACAACGCCCTCTGGGAGGTTCCTGCCATCACCTTCTCCATATCAGCTGAGGGAATCTAAACCCAGAGGCAAAGGTCTCGGCCCAAGGGGCCAAACCAGTATGTGGCAGGACCAGAAAGGTGTGTCTGGGTTTTTCTAAGACTGCAGTGTTGCTTCCTAACTTTACTGGTCTCAGCAGGGTCAACGGAGAAGGCTGTGGTAGTGGCAGAAAGGACATAGGGACCAGGTTCCCAAGCGGCTGGGGGCAGGGTCCCAAGGCAAGGTGAGAAGGGGGTTTTGGCCTTCACCTGCTTGCCGTCCACCTCAATGTCTGCGATATAGTTCTCAAAGACGGTAGGGACGTAGACCTCCGGAAACTGGTCCTTGCTGAAGACGATGAGGAGGCAGGTCTTCCCACAGGCACCATCCCCCACAATCACCAGCTTCTTCCGGATCGCAGCCATGGCTGGGACTGGCAGGCGAGAGGCAGCAGAGATTAGTGGGGAAAGCCAGTAAGTCCAAAAACACTAGGGCTCCCCAAACTCCCTTGAAAACCAGGGGACCCCACAGAGGAAGGAAAGGGAGACTTGTTCTTGCCAAGAACCAATTGTGCAGGCAACAGAGCTTGACACTCCTCATCTCAGGGTTGGGGAGGGGTGTCCCCCAAGTGGGAGGCAGAAGAACCCACTTGGGAGGCAGAAAACATGAGTTTAAGTGGAATCTACTAGCTGGGGGACCTGGGACACCAGAGGTGCTCAGGGGACAGGTCTATTAATAGAATAGCTGGCTTGTATCAGGGTTTACACATACCAGGGTTTCAACAAGTTAGACTTCACTTGTTACCAGGATTTTGATACATTTAAAGTTGAATCATCTCTTTTTTTTTTTTTTTTTTTTTTTTTT